AGTCTGTTACTCCTCGGCGACCTCAACATCCACATGGACTCCCCCACCTGCAAACTCGCTTCTGAATTCTCCTCCCTTCTGGACAATTTCTCATTTACCCAATATGTCACCTTCCCCACCCATGATAAAGGACACATCCTTGACCTTGTCTGCTCCACCAACCTCCCAGTACTCGACCTCCACCCCTGCCCCTTTCCCCTCTCTGACCACAAACTCATACAGTTCACCAACGCCTCCCCTGTCCGCCACCCCCCCCCCATCCAGGAACATCACCTTCCGTAATTTATGCTCTGTCGATCCCCAGCACCTATCCTCTACTCTCCCCCTGGACTCGAACCTCAGCTCACCCGATGAACAACTCAACCACCTTAATTCCACCCTACTCGCCTCCCTCAACAGCCTGGCCCCCCTCAAAAGGAAAAATGGCACTTTTAAAACCTCCTCACCCTTCCTGCTTACCCAACTCCAGGATATCGGTATCGAAGGTACTGCACTCAGGTGGCTCCAGTCCTACCTCTCCGACAGATCCTACTTCATCTCCCTCAACAACCACTCCTCTGCCAGAGCTTCAGTCACCCAAGGTGTTCCCTCTTCATCATCTACATCCTCCCCCTGGGTCAGATTCTCCGCCAATACAACCTGGACTTTCACTGTTACGCTGACGACACACAGATTTACCTCAGCACCAAATCCCCCCACAACCCCCCCCTCACCCACATCGAATCCTGTCTGAGTGCAATAAAATCCTGGATGCAACACAACTTCCTCAAACTCAACAGCAATAAAACTGAACTCCTCCTCATCGGCTCCAAATCCACCCTCAGCAAAAACCCCAACCTGACAGTCACCATTGATGGCACCCCTGTTTCCCCCTCCACCCAGGCATGCAACCGTGGCGTTATATTTGACCCCACACTCTCCCTAGAGCCCCACATCCGTCAAGTTGTAAAAACCTCATTTTTCCACCTCCGCAATATTGCCAAACTCCGTCCCTCTCTCACCCGCCCTGCAGCTGAGCGACTCATTCACACCTTCATCTCCTCCCGCATTGACTATTGCAACTCACTCCTCTACGGCATCAGCACTACATCCCTCAATAGACTCCAGTGTGTCCAGAACGCAGCCGCCAGACTCCTCACCCACACCAAATCATGGCATCACATCACCCCGGTCCTCAAAGAACTCCACTGGCTCCCCGTTTCACACCACATCCATTATAAACTCCTGGCCCCCCCCCCCCCCCCCTACCTCACTGACCTCCTCATCCTCTACCAACCACCCCGGTCCCTCAGATCCACCTCAGCCGGTTTGTTTTCCATCCCCAAGGCCAAACTCCGGAGCTTCGGGGATAGAGCCTTCTCTGTGGCAGCCCCGAAGCTCTGGAACTCCCTCCCCCAAGACCTCCGTGAGTCTGAGTCCCTCATCCTGTTCCAGTCCCGCCTCAAAACCCACCTCTTCAACTCTGTATCCATAAGCCCCGCCCCCCCCTCTCAACCAACTTCCTCCTGACTGCTTTTCTGTTTTGTTTTGTTTCTTTTTGGTTTTGTTTGTCTACCCTCCCTCCCAAATGTAAAGCGTCTTTGGGTTCAAGAAAAGCGCTATAGATAATTTATTATTATCATTATTACACGAACTACATGTTGCTAAATCCACCGCGGAGAATAAACAGAAGGGCAACCAGGCAACCATGGAAACCATGCTCGGGGGGTCTTATTCGCTGCTTTTGGTGTATTTTGTGACAGAAGTACAGCGCCACTTACAGGCCCGGCATATGTACTACAGTGTTTCCAGCGGGTCGCGCGTTCTCGTGTGGACGGACACGTTTCTTGAGCCGATTCCGTGTGGACGGAAGACTTTTTTGATATTGAATGCGGTTTGTTTTCGTGTGGCTCCAGCCTGAGCCCCAGGTGCTGCTGCCATGAAGCCTCACACACTTCACACAAGAAGAGGGCCAGCGAGACCGCAGGCCATGTGACAACATTTTTGTTGTAACTGCTCCGCACTCTCCCACCCTCTGCAGCATTTCATTATTTCCAAACCCATGAATTTAAACAATTTGTCTGTTCAGCTCAGTCAGCTGTGGCCTTTGAAGTGAGCCCCCGGTGCTGCGTTCGTGTTCATTAGCTAACAATCAGTGTTTTTGGAGAGGAGGAGGGTAGGAGCACAAAATAGTAGAGGCCACCACTCTCTCCTTCAGTGTGAATTAATACATCATGAAAGGTAACATAAGAGGCGTGTGGCGCAGTGGATAGAGCCTTGGTGTTGTGATCAGGGGAGCACAGGTTCAAACCCCACTGCAGTCAGCATGTCGTTGTGTCCTTGGGCAAGACACTTCACCCCAAATTGCTCCTGTGGGGATTGCCCACAGTATTGAGTATGTAAGTCGCTTTGGATAAAAGCGTCTAACAAGTAACATGTAATGTAATAAGAAGAAACACTGGTACACTGGCAGTGAAAAAAGAAAACATGCATTTTTACAAGAATTCTTTCAAAAGGTTAAAGTTAGATGCAGACACCCATGTTGACTTTTGGGTGGGGTCCTAAAGAATGTTGAAAGTACCTGCTGCTGTTTTACGAGGTAACAAAACTAAACACATTTGCTGACGGATTCATTAAGTGTTAAAAAGAATGCCCCTTGCAGCCATCTGCCAAATACTTAAGAAAGGAAAAAGAGAGGTAACCCAAGCCCACCAACACAGCGTTATTTACCCACACTGCCTGCACAAACATGCCGACGGTAGCAGTGATGGATTAGGCCGGGGTTATCCCAGTCAGGCAACACCATGATAATAGAGTGAGTGCTTTTGCGCCGGGGCGACGTGGACGATGAAGTGATGAAAGTGAAGTCCAAGAAGGGAGATTTCTGTCCAACATGCCACAGAGGATTAAGTATCTGGTTTCTCCCCCTGCTCGTAATCTGGACCGGAGGGGGCAAATGTCACTTTGCTAAACAACACATATTGATAGTGGTGGTGTCACCTCCAAAGCCAGGTTAACACTGGGGGTTTACCACAGGCACTTAGAGAGGGAGGGCTTGGATTAGGGATGCCATTGTAAATTCCTTTGTAAATGTTTTGAGCGCATCATTTCAATGTGATAAATTCACAATATTCAAGGAGACACATCTTACTCTCTGAGCACTGATGAAGGACAGGAGGGAGTTGTGGGTGGTCAGCCGCCGCCCTGCTCAATGCAGGTGCGATAAAAAAAAGAAAGCCTCACTCGCTTCACTCTGTGAACCGGTGATGAAGAGGGTGCTGAGTTAGACAGGATGGAGAGCTGTGTGAAATGGGTCAGTTAGTTACTATCACAGGTGTGGACAGTGGAAGAGGCTGAAGTGACAGAGACTGATGACCACAGGCTGAAACACTGAAACATCTCTACCACGTCGCTACTGGAGAGAAAACTATCTAAACGCATATGTGAAAGGCGCTAGTACAAAGGCGCACGTCCAAAGAAGTATGGGAAAGCCTCAAACAAAACTCTAATTTAATCATTTCAACGATTCAGATCAATGTTTTAGCAAACAGACTAAAATACAGCAGTCTGGTATTTACACCAACTGGGACAGGTGCTACAAATCAGGGCAATCCCAGAGGCCGTCTGGGACCTAACACAAGTCCATATAATCAAGATATATACCAGTTCAAACAGGGACACCTGTCTTCTTATATGAAAAGAGGTAAAATAATATATAATACATCAAAACAACAATAGCTGATCAGTATTCTTTGGTTGTCTCCAGCCAAAAAAAGCAAAAAGCTGCATGCTGTAGAAGGAATCTGGGAAGTTTAGAGTCAAAATCTTTTTCTTTTATTCCCCTTAATGTATAGAACAGCCGTAAAGAGAAAGTGAAACAGAAGGGATGACATGCAGCAACGATGGCAGCACATTTTTTATTGAGCATTTTTAAAATAAAAGACTTCCAGCTCATTCTCAACCTTTGACCGAGCAGATGACAAAACCAGTCCAGCTCAAGTCCATTTAGTTGCTGTCCTTTTTGATTGATTAAGAAACTTACAAATCCATTGCATTTTGGAAAACTCCATCTGCTGAAATATGTGGTGGCAATGGATGAACAGCTACAGTACTAATTGGACGGGCCTTGAAGTTAAACTGTTTTGTTAACTACTGTTTCTAGGTCAAACATTGCTGCAGGATTGCCCAAAGCCTCAAAACGAGTTAGCATTTTAGCACTTCAGGTTACCTCATCTTAAAGTCAATTGATTTTTTTAATTGAGTTTTTGGTTAGATGCTTGAAATAAGGTCTACGATTAATGATGCTTAAGATGTTTTATTGTTTTACTCAAGAACATAAAATAAATCGGTTAATATCCCACTCGTGAATTTTGAAACTTTGATTTCTCTTAACAAAGGTGGTTGTTCAACGTTATCTCAACGCAGACCTTATTTCCTAGAATAATCAAAAATCAAAAAGATAAAATGGCTTTATGTCAAGGATACCAGTGCACTAATAACTTCCAGGTGCCTAGAAAATATGTCGTGCCTGAAGCATTGTGCAATGTGGTCAGGAAAAGGTTGTAAAAGAAGACATTTTCATATCACTGCAAACAACAACCCATTAAATAACTGAAACTAAAGATTGTGACATTAATCAAAAAGGTATTTTCTGCAGGGGCTCTGTATTATGTTTATTATACTACATTACATTTTATTTGTTTGACGCTTTTATGCAAAGAGACTTTCAATAAGCGCAAAATGAAGATACGTACAAACTCAAAAAAGCAAGAATCCTAAAGTACATTCGCTTTCAATACAACAAACTGTTGCGTTGGCTTTAAAGAAGCCAAAGCTTTCCATATGCTACTTACAGAACTGATTTGTGTACAATTATTCTTTGAAATGTGTACACTGTATCCATCTGTAAAGCTCTTAATATTAAATTAACAAGGTATTTGACTAAAATAATAAACCTGAATGAAAAAGGAAATGAAAAGAAACTTGAAAAAGATCTCCTGAAAGCAGAATCCAAGGACACATTTGAGTGCAATAATGATGATGTATTTTTTATTGCAAACAAAGGAACAAAATACAATCAGCCGCACTTTAACCTCTGATCCAATCATTCAAACAACAACATAGAACATATTTGGTTCAGAAACAAATATAAAATGCGGTGAAAACAGGCTCGCCCTAATCATGAGCTCCTCGAACGCACGTAAGATTAACGAATACTCTGTGAAAAGTACAGACCTCATACAAAAAATAAGATTTTTCAATAATAAAAAAAAAAACAGCCAGCATATTTACAGGACAATAATATTTTCTATGAATCTGGCTTGCCTTAATTCCCAGTGAAGGTTTTCTTATTACAATTGTCTCAGTAACTAACTTGTTACATGTGTCCTCAAAGTGTAAGGCATAACAATCAACCTTTTGTCTGCTCTGATGTTTTAATATCAGCAAATCTCAAATATAACCATGGAAGACATATTAAAGAACCAGTCAGTCCTCCACTTCAATGATATTTATATCCTTTATATTAATGCTTGTCATTTTCCAAAGTTTCTGTGCATTGTGCAACCCATCTAAGGCACCAACTATTCAGTAGGGGAGACCAGAACACAACTGTACATGAGCATACAAATCAAACAGCTAATCCTACGCTAACCTATTAGCATTATGTACATGGGTGATGACAAATAATAAACGTGGTAGGTATCGAATAACTTAATTTACATGCAAACCAGTTGGAGAGTGATCCTGCACAATAACATTGATCACTTCAGCTCTTTTTGCTTTTGTCAAACAGTCTTTAGAGATGAAACATAGAAAGATAGTATTTTGAAAGCAGAGACAGCAGTTTGCATGGAACAGGTTTACCAAATAACTTTAAAGCTATGAATGAAAAATGGCAGACACGGATGAGCTATATGTCATCGACTCTGGGTACGTGGGTTGCCAAGTTGCGATGAGCAGAAAAAAGTTAATTAAAAAGCTGAAGGTTTGAGGCGAGGTCTGATCCTGGATTGCGGGCTGCAGTGGCAGATGTGTGGCAGAGGGGTGTGTGTGTGTGTGTGTGCGGCGATGAAAGTAAGAGCGAGATTAAAGAAGTGTATTCTCAGACATCTAAACCTTCCACCAAAGCCCTGGCATGGGAACACATGGGTGGAGAAGGGATAAAGAAAAAAAAATAGGAAAATGTGCACCATCAATCTATAAAACCCCAATAAGAAACAACCTAAAAATATACCCCCCCCTGTCCTGACCGGACTGTATCACACATATATGGTTCCTTCTTCCTGCAACAAACGCTGATTGACTACACTGGGATCTCTCCAAAAAAGGTTGTGTTTTCCCTTTCATTTGAGGCCACTTTGATCCATGTGTTACTCCTGAGGAAACAGCACTAAGTGGAGAAAGGTCAAATCAAGCAGTGAGAGATGAGATCATTTATGATGTCAACTCTTTTGTTTTAACAGAACGACACTGGGTTTGTTGTTTGAGGGGAAAAAACTGTAAAATCCCTATGGGAGCTATAACGCAGACAGCTCTAACCTACATGGTTCCTACACTGATTTTTTTCACTGGTGGATTACATTTCTAGTTTCCATGAAGGCTGTATATCCTCAGAGGAGCCAAACCCCAACATCATAGGCTGTTCTGTGATCAGTAGTGATGTCAGCCGCTCAGTGTTTCCAACTGTCCTGGGAGGTATTTCCACAATCAGACTTCAAACATATATAAACTAAAGCTTTCAGGATCCGTTTATTAGTGCTCCTCTCTCTGCCCATTTTCTTCAACAAGTAGTTTGTTTATTTAGCGTCATGAATCCTCACCGCTGGGTGTCGAGCGTCAGCAGTGAAACTGTTGGTGGTTTATGGAGCCACATAGCGTCAGATGATGACAGCTGTTAAAGTCACATGTGGTATTTATAACTCATCGCTTTGATCCCACGTTTAAAATAAAATCTATAATGACCAATTGGTGTTTGTGTGCAGACAGAAATCAGAGGATACAGAGGAGGGGAAATAGGAAACACAGCGATGCAGCCTGTTATCATGGCTAAGTGGAGAGAGGGCCAAAGCCTGCTGGGTCTCCTTTGATGTTTACTGACAACTGTAATAACCAAGTTGTGCTTTTTGACTTCAGGAAAGTGACTGGATTAACACATTTCAAAAGTGATAATAGTGTTTTGGTTAAAGATGGTAATCCTTAAGATTTTCATGAGATCTACCCTTAGCATGGCTGGCATTTTTCATGCAGTAATTACCTCTCAATAGCTTTTATTGGTAGTGGCAGAGTCCACCATTACTAAACTGGATTGGCTTCCTAAACAAGAGAGATTCAGAGGAGAGGATGCTTGCATGTAATCCAGCTTTTATTGTGAAGCACCCGCAGGAAACGGAAAGATGTTGTCACTGAGGTTAATACTCAGCAATTTTGGTTATCAAAAAGGCGCCTACAAAACAAGATAACTGTAATTTTCTGCTCTTTTTCTTTGTCAGAAGACCATTTTTAATTACACAAGTTGTCCCCTGTCCTTGTAAAGTAGCTGCTCAGGGAGTGTTTGCTGTTACTACGGGAACCAGGACTGAAATCGTACAACTTTAAGAACATCTGTAGTACGCTGAACTGAAGCTGGAAGTTAAAGTCCTTCCACTGGGAATATCCTTTCTCTCTGTCAGGTGACCGCTCACCTTTTCAACAATAATTTACTGAAGACACTTTGAGTTTGAAAAAGCCACTAAATAACATAACCACAGGTTTGCAAGGGTTTTCTTTGTAATGAACTCTCATCAGTCTCTCAGAACAACACCTTCATGTGAGTGACAAACTTTCCCTTTAACTCAATTATACTTTTAGCTTTTTGTAAAAACTCATGCAATATAATCTGCTTTAAATACCGCTTGCAGCCATGATCAACATTTCAACAGTATGAAAACGCCGTGAGTTATCAAGAGACCGTTTGGAAAATGCCACAGAAGATGTGAGGTTTTATGGGAGCAGAGCTCGGTCAGTCAGGGATATAAATACTTCACTAACAAGGGTCTGAACACCTGACCTGTGTTAAAGACAGGTGCAAACACAAACAAGCAGAATACAAAACCCCATTCACATCAGTTGAAACAACACGGTATGCCAAAGCCTCTTAAGCCTGCACGGATAATTTCACAGAGGCGTTTCAGCTTATTTGCAGCTCCTTGAAAATCTCCAAAAGTGTAATACAATCCAAATAGGCGTCCTTAAGGTTAAGTGGTTACAATCAAGGCAGAGCAGTAATGTTCAAAGAGCTCGTTGTGAAACCGCACTGAGAAATAGTTTTCATCCTTTAACTGAAATAATGATAATCTGTCTCTTGCGAATCTTTCTCAGTCAGTCGTTTGATTTGTCTTTTTTTCTTTCTTCCTTTCCTCAAACATACCACTCCCTGCGTGAGATCACAGATCCATCCATGTGGGACACATAGTCGCTGTCTGTCCCGTTGTCGTAGCAGTCCTCCGGGACGTAGGGGGAGCCGTTGTTCACTGTGGGGCTGTGCACAGGGGGCCCGCAGGGGTGCATGTTTTGGGGGTTGTAGAGATCTGGGTAGTAGTTTCCCTCCTTGAGGCCTCTGTTGGCGTCCCCTCTATCGGCCCAGTCGTCCCTATCCTTATGGTCAGGGGTGTAGTCGGGGTAAATTATGTCCCCGCCCAGTTTGGGTTTCAGATCTTGGCTGCCTTTGCTGGTCTTATCCCCGTAGACCTCCTGCAGTTCGTGGGGCTGCAGCACGTCCAGCTGGGCCTCCTTCTGCATGTCGGAGGGTCCCAGGTACTGTTTGGTGTAGTAGTCTCCTCTGAAGGTCCGGCGCGACCGCATGAAGCAGGCCCCGCCCAGAATCAGCAAGAGGATCAGGAACAAGACTCCGCCCACAACCCCGCCCACGATGGTACCCAGGCTGCTATCAGGTAAGGAGGCCAGGGTGGGGGAGGTGAACAGGGCTCTGTGCTGGTCTGCCACGGTGCCAGGTCCCGAGGTCTCGCTGCGGGGGGGTGCAGTGGTGCTGGGGGCCGCCGTGGTAGGGGGGGGTTCTGCAGAGTAAACATGTGATGAAAAGGTTTAAAGATCTCCTATCATGCTATTTTTAGGCATATATTATGGGTCTCAGATATATACAAATACATATAAAACATGTTTATGATGTGTTTTGCTCAAAATACCAAACAGTTAATGGCGCATTCACACCAGCCTTTTATAGTCCGGTTGAATCGAACCCTGGTGCGTTTAGCCGCTTGGTGCGGTTCGTTTGGGTCGGTGTGAACACAGTCCGGGACCTCTTAAGTGAACTAAACAACCGGACTCTGGTCCGCTAAAATAGGTGGTCTCGGAGCGCTTGCTTGCGAACTCTGGAGCGGTTCGGTCCGCACTAAAACATAGGAAGCGTAGTATTTACGTGTCACAAGAACGTGGGTGTCTTCATTTCTTTAGTGAAAGAGTGAAGCAGAATGATGTGTTGAACACAGGTTGAACAGTGTTGTGTAAAGTAAAAACAACTATCAAAGTAAAAACTATATATAAAAGTCAGAGCCACCTGCCGTCGGTGAAACCCCCTCCTTACTGCAGAACGTCTCTCATTATATGTGTTATAATGTTTTGTATCGCACGTTGTCTGGTTATATAATCATATGCGCCGTTGCTGTTGATATGCTCTCCAGATTAACAACAGCATGAAAATAACCTGCCGATGCTCCATGGCGGAGGCTCCGGTAGAAATTGCCGGGATTTGCGTTTTTACCCCCTTAATGTCTGACCAATTGTTGAACAGCATTTGCGAGCACATGACATGTGTTTAAAGTTTATAGTCCGTTTGAGTTTTGCCTGTGTGAACGCAAACCGAACCTTCTGAAAAATGAAACAATGTAACAAACTGTGGTCTGGTGCTCACCAGAGAAGCGGACTATTAGGTGTGAATGCACCTTTAGACATTCCTCATATCCCTCTGTTTCAGCCCTGTTAGAGAAGTGTTGATTCTGTGACTGTAGCTGCTGGCCCCGCTCCCTTTTGAGCACGGCAAGGCAAGCAGTGAGTTCAGTGACGAGCAGGCTGTCTGCTCTGCTCAGATACAGCTAAAAGCTGCCGTAATTAAACGCCATATTATGTTCCAAACCACTTCAAGGATTATTTCTGAAACAGTATGGAGCTCAAATGCTTCTTTTCTTGCGGGTTTACTACAAGGTGAGTTCCTTTTTATATCCTGCTTTTGTACACAAACTCTCTCCAGTACAGGTTAGCTCTGAGTGTTAGCGATGCTTGCTAATGTAAACAAAGACCATATTACTTCCAAAACACGTTGCTCATTGTTTCTGATAGCGATGTTTCTGATCGGGCCGTGGGTGTAAAGCCAGCCCACATTTCTGATATTACGTCATATTGGACGCAAATCTGGATCAGCTCCGTTGTATCCCTGTTTTTAGAGATGTTGGTACGGAGGAAAAGAGAGAGGGTTTTATTTTCTGACACTTTGTGAGTTCCCTGAAACACATGTATGTATAGAAGACATAAAAAAGTTCATTTTGCATGATAGGTCCCCTTTAAAACAGAGAAAGACAGCATAAGGAGTGAGAACTCATACAAATAAAAGGGGGAAAAGAGCACACTTTATGTCTGTAGCGATTGGCAGAGCGAGTGTGAATGGTTTTTAGATTAATGTATAACAACACTGCAGAGCTAGACACATGCCACCCCTGAGACTAAAGGGTCTGTTGAAAGCTGCGCTGTAGAGCAAGAAGGAGGAAATGTGCGGGGCAGCGAGAGGTTAAGTGCTAAATGTCATTGTGTGTGTGTATGAAAAAGACAGAGAGGTATAGAAGGACAGAGGACATGCACTCATGAGCATCTGAGTGAGCGCGATTGGCTCTCCCCCCTTTTTCTTTTCAATCCTGCTGTGGGGAAGTCATGTGAGAAGATGAAACGCTGTGTGATCGATGCAAGGTTCCTGCATCTGACTTGTCCTCCGGTGCCCGGCGTTTGTGATAGCAGCCAGAGCCGGAGAGGACAGGACTTTGTGGCGCTCAAGGTCAGGATAAGTGTCTCCATTTTGACCTCCAGCCTCCGGGGCTAAGAGCAGCCTGATACCACCAGTCGATCTCTGCAGCGGCACTTCAAAGGCCTGACTACAAAGCAATATGACTCTCACTAATAGACGTCTGCGTCTCCAGGAGGTTTTTTGGCACTAGTTATCAAAACCTGATTCCCCACGGAGATGTAATGATTTCCACAATTTGTGTAACTGAGTAAGAGTGTAATTACCTGCCATTATGCACTGTGTGAGCCTGAAGGGCTACAGTTAAAGCATGACAGAGGATAATGGAGACGCACAAGGTCAGTGTACTGATATGCTGGCAATCGCCTCCTCCATCAGTCACTATCAATCCCACCCTGCAGCGCGACATTTTAAACTCATGTAGGGTTATGTGCATCTACAACTATGTAGCTGATCTGAGCAAAACGCTGCCAAAGCCCACAAGGCTGCACAGACAACTGGGAATGTGAAACAGCTACAGAAGGGGGGGGGGGATAAAGCTGAGCTCAACCTGGCTATCTCCACAGGGGATGGAAGTGAGAGGCCGCATGCTCGAGTCTTAATATTTGACAAGAGAAGCAACATAATTGCTCAAAGCAAGTCAGTCCTAGACAGGATGTCAGCTGTGCTTTCGTTTGGAGCAGGACTCTAAACGCGGCCTGTACACAGACGGAGCATGACAGCACTTTACTGGGGCTTTTCCAGCTCTCTACTTGAGTGAGAAACAAGAAGGATTGAGTGGGTAAGCGGAGTATGTGTCCAAAAGCAGCAGTTGCTTTGTTTGGAAAAGGATTCAAAGGAGCAGAGAAGAAAGGAAAACAAGAAGAGATGCAGGGTTGTCAGGATCCACGCCCTGACGTTACAATAATGAACTCTAGAGGCAAAGCATGGATAGACAGAGGGAGTAGATGGGAGTTATTCAGTAAGCTGTGAGGATGTATGTCATAAATCAACAGCTTTCCAATAATACAAATGCAGGGAAAGCCCTTGTAATGATCAAGAGTCCCCTATCTGGCTTTTAGTTTTAGTGTTTAAGTTTTAGAAATAAATGTAATGTAATGAGTACAAAAACATTCTTCCATGTACAGCAAATCTTTGAACACAATTCATTATGTCCCGCTGTGAAACCTGACCTCAAAGAAAACAAAGAAAAAGGCAACATGGGAGCATACTTTGCTGAACCGGCAGGGGTAAACACCCTCTTTCGTATCTGAGAAATCTGATGTTGCCAAAACCACAACACTGTAAACGTTTTGGTACTGATACTCTTTATCTGCACTCTGTGCTCCTCTGTTGCCAGGAATGTGTGAAAGTGGATCTGGGCAGGGACATGATTATGGAGGCTTAGCTCAGCTCGAAGTGATGAACTGTAGCTGATCGTACCGAGAGGGTTAACTGACATCAGAGAGGTGAAGGTCAAAAGGCACAGATTGTTATTTTAACTTCAGGTTTTAAGGTTATTTAGGGGTGTGGAAACATCAAATAGCACTTTAATACTGTTTTCCACCACAATGAGTAAATGCAGGGAGTATTTTAAACACAATAACTGATAACAGATGAACTCCTTTCCCCTGGTCAGAGTTGGTGATTGTTAGAAAAGTGTAAAGATTAACAACAGTAGATGAGTTTGTTTGTTAGAAAGTTAGAAAGTTAAAACGTACCTTGTACCCAGAGGGGTACATCTTGACTGCCGAGGCCGATGTCGTTGATCACTTCACAGCGGTACACTCCAGAGTCATTGTGCTCCAAAGGGCGAGTGATAGAAAAGCTATTGTTTGATATCTCAACACCCTCTGGTATCACTCCATCCAACCTATGCAGAAATACAATGTTAGATACATCTCAGTGTATAGTACAACATACACAAACTCAAAGAAAGACATGACGTTATAACTGCATAAACGTTCTGTGACATGTCCCTGATCTGCCGCTTGTGTTGAATCTACTATTTGTAGGCCTGATGCAACTTTGAATATGATCAAAAGACAGAGATAATGTGTGCTTTCTGTATGTTAGTAGTACTGTCAGTTCAAATAAAAACACATCTCTTGTTTTCAAAGCAAGATGATGAAAAAGCGGTGCCAATAGGCCAGCGTTACTCTGATGCATGAACCATTTGGAATCTTTTATTTATAACAGGGAGTCTATTCCGATGTGTGCAGCAGCGCATTGGACAGCTCCAGTGTCCAGGCGCCAAAAGTCATGTTGGAGGTAATTTATAGACAGAAGCTTCACCTTTTAACAACGGACTGCTTTCCAACACTACTTAAGGCTGCAAAGGATATAGCTGCGTGTCTTGTCCCCTGAATATGGGACGGAGGATGCTTCTACATTTGTAAGAAACTTTAACAGATTGTGTGTCAGCCTGTTTGACAGAAACTGTCTTTAAAGGTCCCCTATTATACTGTTTTTCATCAATATATTATAGGTCTCAGATATATATAAAACATGTCTCTGAAGTGTTTGGCTGAAATACCAAACAGATCGTGCATTGTAGCTTCCCATAATCCCCTCTGTTTCAGCCCTGTTTCAAAAGTGCTGATTCTCTGTCTTACTTTAGATGAAAATAAGGAGCCACTCCCCACGCCCCTCTGAGAGATAGTTGATTAAAAAGAACACAATGGTGCTCTAGGAAGAGATTCAGGTGATAAGGTGGGGGGTAGGGGGGTGTTACCTTGGTTGGTTATTGGCTAATGGTTACACAAGCCAAAAACTCGTTATGACATCATAAAGTGGCCAAAATCTGATCAGCTAATTTTCATTTTTTTATATAAATGGATCAGGACAAAAAGTGAGCCAATCTTTTTTCCTGAAACTTTCAGAATCTCTTTACACAGAGGGGACACATGTTTATGTATAAAATACATGAAAAAGTGGATTTTGAATAATAGGTGACCTTTAAAGGCGGGCTCTAAGGGGAAGACAACAACGATTATCTTAAAACCCAGCTCTTAGAACAATTAGTTACTGAGTGTACTGTGACTGTATTTCTAATGAGAAGTTAAGGCTTTCCCGCTCACTTCAATACAGTGAGGCTTTCAAGAATCAGTATTAGAGATGCACTTCTGTATTTGTTTAATAATTTCAGTAATAATGTATGTTTCTGTATTTCCCTCACGTGTGTGTGGTGTTGTGGCAGACAATGTAAACAATGTTCACTAAATACTGACATCACTGCAGTTCATGGATAATGATTATAACTTGCTACACCTATCCTCACCTACAGGATAACAAATCAATCAAATGGTAGTCGTTCCAAAAAGTGTTTCCACCAGGAGACATTCTTTAGGAAAACTGACCTGGTCCATGTGAAGAGACGGGCAGGTGGGTTGGCCTTGGCTCCACAGGTGAACTTCACATTCTCTTGTCCCACATACCAATTTTCGTCAATTCCTGTTATCGACACCACTGGTGAGACTGTAAAACATACAGTTTTGATGTCAAATAATCATTTGTATTAATAACTAAAACAGGTTTTTATAAAACTAGATTTTAAAGGCGGTGTTATTATTCTTGTAAGTTTGGTCTCATTTCTGAGGGTACAAGACTAGGACTCAATAATCAGTCAATGTTGTCCCAGCAGCTTGAAGACAAATGAGCTTTTCCAGAAGGAACAAAGCGTGCATTATAAGCACAGTAGCGAGCGATGACAAAAAACAAAGGCAGGGCAGGACTGTAGCAGGGTACAGGATCTAGTGGTGAACGTGAGCCAGCAGAACAAACAAATGACCCTGGGTTGGTGGAAAGTTAGAAAATGACAGACTCACTCAGGCAGTAATGTACTGCATCTAATAATAAACTACTGCCTCACCGTGACACAGGAAAGCAGGAGGATGCCCAGCACATGCCACTGTAATAAAACATGGCAAACACTGACCTAGGAATCCAATATTTCATTTTTGATTTCTCTGGAGGACAAATGAGGAACTCATTACAGCACACAGGAAGACGCCTCTGCTCACTGAACCTTTTCACGCAGCTCAACGTTCAAATTGTGCTTCTTTTGCACTTAAAATCCCTTGCCTCTGCATTTGACATGATTTATTGAGCTGGGATGCCTCTTTCTTCCTGTATTAACCTTGGTTTTCCTGCGCCTCTGCAGCCACTGCCCCCAGCAGCCTCCCGCTACTAGTGTGGCTGCTGAGGCCTGATCAATATTTCATAAAACACCTTCATTAGCCTGCACTCACAGTCCAAACAGACTAACCCTTAGTACTGCTCGCCAAAGAAGTATGCATCAATGATTATAACATTAAGAACACTCTTAAACGGCCCCTTTATGGGAAAAGAGGGAAGGTAGGGATCAGGCTGTTCATAAATCAAGCTCTCAGCAGGGGTTAATATCAATAAATATACCGTACCTGTAAGCCCTGCACAATTAAAACTATAATTATCGGTACTTTGCCGTATATAATGACCATTCATCTTCGGGATTTCAGCATTATGTTATAGTATTGAGGATATTAACAAAAATGTCAATAAACAGCATAATCTTGCACATTTAATTAACCCAATCCTATCAACCTGATCAGAAGAAAACATTTGGTGCAGTTGGTAAAAGATGGATAAAGGATGACACCACAAGGCCATTCAGGCTTAAAGTGTGTGTGATTTTGAACATTTTAAGGTAAACTTTAAGCTGCGGATAATGCAAACATCGCTGCTACAACCCGTTGCTGCAGATACACGCTTTACAACATCAGGAAGATACGTCCCCAGCTGACACAGAAAGCGACGCAGGTTCTGGTCCAGGCTCTCGTCATCTCACGCCTAGACTACTGCAACTCCCTCCTGGCTGGTCTACCTGCATGTGCCATCCGACCTCTGCAGCTCACCCAGAATACAGCGGCTCGTCTGGTCTTCAACCTTCCTAAATTTTCCCACACCACTCCGCTCCTCCGCTCCCTTCACTGGCTTCCGGTAACTGCTAGAATCCACTTCAAGACAATGGTACTTGCGTACCATGCTGCGAATGGATCTGGCCCTTCGTACATCCAGGACATGGTTAAACCGTACACCCCAGCGCGTGCACTACGCTCTGCATCAGCCAAACGACTCGCTGCACCCTCGCTGCGAGGGGGACCCAAGTTCCCATCAGCAAAAACACGTGGGTTTGCTATCCTGGCTCCAAGATGGTGGAATGAGCTCCCCATTGACATCAGGACAGCAGATAGCTTGCACACCTTCCGGCGCAGACTGAAAACTCATCTCTTTCGACTCCACTTCGAGTGATATAATTATTAACAAAGCACTTATATACTAATAAAGGATTGGCTTATCTATAGCCAGTTGAGTAACACTTGAAATGTTTGGCTCTATGAAACCTGATGTACTTATATGATTCTGTTTTCTTCAAGGTTGTGTCTTCCTGGTCGAATGTACTTATTGTAAGTCGCTTTGGATAAAAGCGTCAGCTAAATGCAATGTAATGTAATGTAATATTCTATATTGTTGTTCATGGTCAACCAGTGCAATGATGTTCTTTGGACAATTATGGAAATTCTGTTAGCAAAACACCTCTTTCCAGTCCAAGTTCGTAGACTACAATAACTACATTTCATTCATCAAACGACTTCGCATTGTGCGGTGCTTTTTTGTTATTTACATTTTACAACTTTGAAAGATAAATGACTTTTTCTGTACCCAATGAACAACCAATTTGGAAATGAGCTTTTTCTTGTGGATTACAGTAAAAAAAAAAGTTTGGACAATTAAGGTCTATGGCACAGAAGAGCAAGCTACATCAGACTAAAGCTACAGTAGATGTAGTACGACCAATTCATTGATTGTTTTGGTATTTCCATGAGATTTCAATAAAAAAAACTTAACCAGTCAGATTTGAAACAAAACAAAGGATTCACAAGGTCTTATAATTCAACACTTACACTGCACATTCAGTATGTAGGGTATGCGGAACTCTGTCTGCAGGGCCGGGTGGCGCACCACGCAGGTGAGCAGCTTCCCCTGGGCGTAGCTCTGTGGGTTCCATATGTAGCCCACACGTACGGTGGAGGTGCCGTTGGGCTCCTCCTGACTCTCCTTCTCACTTCGTCCATACAGCTCCGTCTCCCAGAAGACCTCCGCAGCGGGGCGGCCACGCTCTGCGATGCAGGTCGCCACCAGCGACTCGTTGCCACCATCCAGCAGAGCTGCTGGGCCCGCAGACACATAGACCTTTGGCGCCACTGTGATAAAGAGAGCAGATGAAAGAGAGTGAGGGGGAGGGGAAAGGAAATGACAGAATGGAGAAAAGATTAAAAATGAATATTGATCTTTGTGTGTATGTATATGAATAAATAATGTCCATCATATAGTGCATGGACAGATGGAAGGGGCCTTAGTACACTCATCTGCCAAACAGAGCAGATTGACTTCTTCCATTTCACATAAGCATTAAATATTGATGAACCACGATATTCAATCAAATGGAGCCATTTCAGTGGAGACTAAGCTGTCTTTATTGTTGTGTGTCCAACATATGATGTGTTTGAGGAAGGGTAATCTATTGTTCCTGCAGTGCCTGATGTATGCATGACTTTGGGGACAAACCCTAAATGTGCAGAATCAGAGGCTACTGGCAGTCAACACTGTGGTGTGTTTGTATTTGACAGTGTTGTGGTGGAAGATGAGGAGCCGGGTTACTGTACACTTCTCAGCGCTTTCCAGCTGAGGTAATGTTATACTGGCTTCCTGAGAATAACGGCGGGTTTATAGAGAACAAGGACTTTCTCAGCAGAGAGGCAAAACAGATCCCTGCAAGAGGGACGTGACCAGAATAACGCAACCCTGTACCTGTTGTGCAAAGCAGTAAAACAGTTTATGCATTGGCCTAAAATAAACACATGGGGCTCTGTTTAATAATCACTAACTGTCAGAACATGACACATGGTAAAGTTCAGCATGACAAAAGAGGAAAACGGACAGTGAAATACAAAAGATGGCTACACAAGGTTACATTTGGGTTTAATTCTTCGTCTTTGTCTTGCAGTGCTCCACCTCGTCCCTATCTGTCCATCTTAAAAGAACAGCTGTTACGTTTACTGCAGTAGTGACAGTTTTAAGACACACGTGGGGGGCACACACCACAAGACAGGGCCGTCACCTTAAACTTCTGCCCCCCCAACTCCTCTCCAGCTGAGCAGGAGGCCCAACAACATATTTAAATAACTCCAGGCACCCCTTTTTCCAAAAATAACCTGCCGTCTCCTGTACCCGCTGCAGGGGCGGGGACATTCTTCCCTTCTTAATGCCCCTGGTTACAAGCCCCTGACTATAAACAGTAGCTGCTCTATGTTGAGAGTCGAGCTGGCCAAAGCCTCAGAATAACTAAATCAGAGAGACGTGTTAATTTGGAGTTGCTGTCAGGAAGGGAGGGGAACACTTTGGATGAGTGGAAATGCTTTAGGGGAAAGGATAACGATTTCCCTTCAGCGTACATTCAGCTGCATTGGCCCTTTCCCGCCCACATACACACTGATTCAGATATGCACACCGAGCACTGACGTCAGATTGGGAACCCCTAGAAGTAAAGGATTTAACTGGATCTTCGCGAGTCATGCATCACGCCTGGACATTTTTACAGGAGGATTTAGCATTAAAAAACCTATAAATTGGCAGTAATTTTTGAAATAATGATGTATAGCAGTTCTTAAAAGAACAGGCATCTTTTATGCTTTAGATTTTGAATGCTGTGAAGGAAAAAGTTGGTTCTCAAAGAAAAGAAAGCCAGTGAACTGAAACAACTATAAATAACAGTGCACCTACTAAAGCTTCAGTAGGTTCAGCATTATTTGAATAGACTAAAAGGATAAATGAAACATTTCTCACCATAGATAATCTATGACCCTCATCAGATTCTTTCTATGGTGATTAAGCAACTACAGCAACTCTGTGGGGCTGATTTCTCAATTGTATGAACTGACAAAGATAGAAACTGCATTATTGGCCACATTAATGAACATACTTCTTCTAAAAGTAGTTTGTGGTTTGAAGATTAAGCTTAAATGCTTATTGCTTATTCATTAAATCTGCCTTGTCATAATTGTGTGTCTACGTGTTTTTTTTAAAAGGTAGATCAATTGCTGTTCAGCACTTCAAAACAAAGGGTCATTGTAATTCATTCACTTTATGTGTCATATTTTCCTCCTCTGGTTCCTTCCTGTTGCTTATATTGGAGCATGCTTCCCACTGAAGTGTTCATTAAAGGCTTGGCCTACTAGCGAGAAAGCGTTGAGCCAAAACAAATATTGCGTGTGCCGTGTTTCAAGATGAAATACAGGACAAGGTTTGTATCAAGAGTGTACATTTTTGAAAATAAGTTGATGTGTACTGCACCTGTTGATCGTTATGATGTGTCGTGACTCATGACTAAGGTCTATTATTCGAGGGTTTGAGCCTTTTCATCGCTTTACTTTAGTTCATTTGAAAGGAATGAAGTCAAGTGCTCTCTCCTTAATCTCAAAGTATAAACATCAATTAAAACTTGGAGTTCAGTAGTTCAAACAAATACACACAGCGAACACGCAATATTCTGTATATTACAACAATATGCAAATTAACTGTGGTTAAATGTGTCTATATTGAACATACGCTAACGTGGTGTTGTCCTGAGTGTTTTAGGGGTGCAGCCATGTTTTCATTTCTCCAAATACTTACAAGGCACGGATGATGAATCTGATCTTCATCGCTGCCTTGGGAAGTTAAATCTGCTTAGTTTAGGTCTGTTAATTGTGATGTTCAATCTTTAAGAAAATAACTATACCCACATGACATGTATCTAATTGCCAAGACATGTATTTCTAACATAATCACACCCTAATTACGTCTGAATTGTAAAGTATGTATTTTCTTATGGGTGTACATGTATGTGTGAGCCATAAAATAACTAGGGCTGAGAAGCAGCTGAGAGAGGAGGGCAAGGTGTAGCTGAACTCTGTGAGGTCCCAGACACACTGGCTGTCACAGCAGCACTAAATGTACCACTCATTAGTCATCAGTCTCCCCCAGTCTCTGGAGGGAGACAAGAAACTACTGCCTACAGAGCAATCTCAGACTCTCAGCAATGCCTGAGTGCAATCTAACCACCAATTTAGAGTTTGAAACATACGCTGACCGCAGAGAAAATTCAAGCTCTGAGAGTGGGTGACTCGATGTACCCACAGAGAATATAGAATCGTAGGATGAAACCCTCTTTATTTGTCACACATTCATGCACACAGCACACACAGTGAAATATGGTCTCTGATTTGTACCCATCCTAGTACTAGTAGCAGTGGGCAGCTATTGTACAGCGCCCATAAGCTGCAGAATGCACATGCTAACACCAGTGACAGTGTATGTTTATATTTGTATACAGTATTTATTAATGTATGTGTTTTGTGGGGGTTACAATATCAAGGAAAAAGCCTCAAGATAAAACAAAGATGGCATTGATAAAAAGACAGATTATGAAGAAGCTAAATGTGCCTAAAAGTATATTATTATTTTTAGTCAAGATTGCCAAGTTTGTCCTCTGCTTAGTTCAATGCCCTTGAGAGCCTCAAAAATGCCAATGACTTAGCATGGGGTATGATTTCAAAATGAGTGACAAGGGGTAAAGAGGGCCGAGCTGACAACAATGCTCCCTGCCTCGAGGGGAATGGCTGCATATTGAAATCTTAAGACTGTTATGTATGATTTGTTTTCATGCAGCCTGGTTAGATGCAAGTGAATGTCCTGAGAGTTGCTCTGTATCACACCCTGCAATTAACTTGTTGTTGGGCCTCTGAACTTTTTGCACTTTGTTTAGATGAGGAGAGTCTGTATATTCCATATAACTATTCATGTGTGATTTGCATATAAGTGGCCTCATGGCGAAATGAATTTAAAGCTGACATAGCAGTATTTCACAGTGAGTGACACTGGGGTGAGTGAGGTGAGATGGACCACGCCAAAACAGCTTCTCCACAGCTGCAGATTCCTATAGGGATTTCAATGTAGAAGGGCCTGTGTCCAGGTAGTGATTTAAAAAGCTAGGTGGCTTCAGGGAGTTGTTTGTTCCTTCAGGGCAAACACTTAGTAATCACCTAAGCTTTGCCTAATCACAACCAACAGTGCCCTCCTTTGAAAAGTCAGATTAAATAACAGCTTTAAGAAGCACTCAATACAATAAGAAGGAAGTGACAGAGCTATACTTTACCTAAAACATTTACTTTGGTTGATGCTTGTGTGTTGCCCAGAGGAAATGTAACCACTTTGCAGGTGTAGGTCCCGACATCTGCTAAGACTGCTCCTTCAATCGTGATGGAAGCATCTCGCACGGAGGGGGAAACAAATGAGATGCGCTTGGCGTAGTCTGGAGAGATGGAGGTTCCAAACTCGGGGTTGAACACTGCCAAGGTAATGGTGCCTGAAGGGAGACTGCGTTCCCAGGAGCTTTGCGTGAGGTTTGAGCCCACCTCTATTCTACAGCCCAGAGTGATGTTCTTCCCCAGCACGGCGTTCACTTTCTCAGGAACAACCACCTGGTTACCGCTGGCATCTGCTGGGAAAACACAATAGAGATCAGATTCAGATAAACAACAGGATCAATGCTGAAGCTTTAATTAACTGTAAAAATGTACACTCTTAGAATCTAGATTTTAATTTGTCAAACAGCTAATTTTACCACAGCCATTGTGACGGATATAAGAGAGATTATTATTCAAAAGTAGCTGCAATGAGCCAGGACTGAGGCTCACAATAAATGTGTATTCGTGATTTTTGCAAGATGCAGTGCACCGGCTCATGCATTTATTCTTGTCACTCATCATCGATAAAGTATTCCCAAAGTCACAATAACAGCCATGATTAGTTTGAGACATGTTTCTCCTGGGGTAAACGACCATACTTCGTCGTGGTTAGTCTGAGTGCTCTGCTTTCCCTCATAATAAGCAACACACTTTCACCGCAGGACACTCAGACTGTCCCCCTTGCTAATTGTCAGAGCACCTTTCAAGCAGGAACAGGAAAACAAATCCCTGGAAGGAGATGAAACAAAACAAGCAATCTGGTTTTATACCCTCTTTTTATTAGGCCCTTAATTCAACCTGAAGCCCACCACAGGTTTTTTGGACCTGTTATTTCATATAGGTTATTTTAAGGTAAAGTAATGCAACATGTAAAGTTGGTTTTGATGATAATGGCTAATTGAAGGCTGTAATACATGAAAGAAAGTAAAAAAAATATGAGCATGAGCAATGAGAAAAAGAAAAATCACACCGGTCCGTAACCGTGAGATACGGACCGTGTGAAAAAGTGTGATTCAGTGTTTGTGATGTGAACGCTGTATGGACAGTCGTCTGCGTGTCACACTTGATAAACGTGCTTCTGAGTTGTAGCAAAAGAAAACAAAAACAACCAGCTCAGAGGGAATGAATGCAAACCTAACCTGAAATAAATCCTAAATTACAGGTTACAGCCATGAATGGGAACAAAACACATATACCCAAGTCTATCCAAGGCTATTCTGTGAGCATTATCACACAAATGAGCCATTGATAGATATGTTTGCTTAAATATTCATCAAGACACTTTACAAAATCGAAAGTGAATTGTGGAGTAGAGCCACAATAAACCTTGTGAAAATGTTTGCTTTGCAGTGAAAATGTAAATGAAATATTTGAATTAATTCAAAAATATTATAACAGTGTGCCTCAGTTTTCCTGACACGGTTACACTCGGAGTAAGCTATATTTGGGAGCTATACATTTCCATTTGGTACGTAGTCTCGGATGTGTATGGAGTAAAGCTTATAAAAAAAGTGGTCCACTGGCTGGTATTTTGAGTCGCTGGCATGAATGTGAGCGGTAAGCCACAGCAATGCTATCTTGGTTTGTGAGGAATATAGCCAAAGGAGGCTGAGGCTCCCCGTGCTCCATTACGTCCCCTGTAATTTCACAAAGACACACACACACACACACAGTTTCTCTTTTCAAAATGTGTGTCTTCTTACGTGAGTCAGAGCATTTTGTTTGAATGTCTGCTGTGCTGAGTCCTAAATGCATGTTGCATTGTGAAATTCCCTGCTGTGCTATAATACTCCGGCTTTCCTGTTTGTTTGTTTCTCTGCTGACCCACATATTCAAAAATATTTTCCTTGTGTTTCTTGCCTTACACTGTCAATTAATCCAGCACAGTTCTGCCCTGTATTTAGACTCTTAACCTATTAAACTAAAGCATTTAACTCAGCCGACCATATTTGCCGTTCAGTCGGAAAGACACTTTCGGGTCGCTTAGGATTCTTATTCCATTTCTCAGAGATAATGTAGGGTTTCAATTACAGTTTTTCCCCACCTTTGAATCATGACCTGATCTAAAAAAAGCCCTCACTGCTATAATGTGCATGTGTTACCCGGTGTTTGCGTTGCGTCTGGAGTCCTGAGCTCTGGTGTGGGGGGAATCAGGGTCAGAGCCGTGTGGGTTTTACATTCTGTACTCTTCGGTCATCTGAGCTGACCTGACAGCTGTTTGTTGTCACCTTACTAGTGCAACTGCTTTAATAAAAATATATTGCAATGATAAAAGCTGGACAGAAAGATAAATATTTGCAAATATATATATTTAACTGGTAGGATATAGATGTCATGCTGATAAAATCCTCCTGCAACACTTGTTGTCTGAGTGGTAAACCAACATGCTTGGCATGCGTGACATTGTGTTGATGCATGAAGACACGTGTCTCCGACCAGGCTCCTGCTCCCCAACATGCTCCACATTCTGCAGCTACCTGACACGACACTCCAACTGCTACCGAACGTAGTTTGTCTATCGCAGTGTGTCAGCTTTCAGGCCTGTGTCAAAGCATACAGAGAAACTAGACTCCATCCATGCTATGTTCTGTGTGTTTTACAGTGAGCATTTGGGAGTATGTAGGGAAGGAGGGAGAGAAAGGGGGGAAGTGCTTAAAGAAGGACTCCACCCTTACCATTATGGGAGGAGAGACAGATGGCCTCTGCATGGGATACCTAAAGCCAGGAGGAGAGTGGGGAAACTTGGCACTGCAAGGCTGGGACCATAAAGAACACAGCCACAGCTCTGTGAAATATTATCTAAAATACAGCAGGCAAATGAAATGTAAGCAATCGCTAAACAAAGAGCTGTCATGGTGTTTCATCAAGAAATACAGGCTCAGAGAAGGACTGTCACTCATTTCATTGCTGGTTTTCCATTTTATCCAAGAAAACAATATGTTTCCAAATGTTTAGAAGGAACATGAAAAGTTCAATCTTAATGCTGCGTCACGATTTGATACTTTGCAACACATTTATTCAACTCAAGCAGAGAACAGGAAGAACCCTGGCCTGTACAAATCTAATTTGACTTGAGAAAATAGGCTGCACTTTTGCCCCCTTTTTTCCTTGAGAAACCCAAGGAAAGTATGAACTCATGGGAAGGAAATGCTTGGCCTTTGAAGAGATGCTTCATATTTGTTTCTTTCCCTCCTGACATCACTAATTGCGACAAGCTGCTGCGTGGACGCAATGGTAAATCAAAACCTTCCTCTTTGCCTAGCAACCGGCTCAAACATTCCACGTCGTTCACTTGATGAGCCAAGATCTCCACCTAACCAGACCTGACCCAGCTTCAGGCCTGACTTCCCCAAAGGAGGACGCTGTCTCCTGGATAGAGACCCTCATGTTGAAGCCATGTTGAAGCCATGTCAGAGCCGTGTGAGACAGGAGGGATCCAAGGCCAGAGACATTCACAAGCAGCAACAGGATAGACAATATGTCATGTTCATGTAGACAAACTCCATGCATAGATTATCATGTCAAGCAGCACTCACGGGGACTGATCTGCAGACCTCACAAGAGAAGAATGCAGACATGAGATCTGTGCAGTAGGGAGTGTGGTTTGAAGCGAGAGGAAACTGAGTGCTCAGCATTCAGAAATGAATATAGTAATGCAGGGAAAAATAAGGACACAGAGCAAGGGATAAGACAGTCATTGAGGGGGAGTACAGGAGTGAGAGTGACACAAGTTAAGACCTGGGTTAGGATATAAAACTGTAACTAGGCTGGGTCAATCCTTTTTACAAGCTAGTGTTAGTACATGACAGTTTAACAGAGTTAAGACCCTCAAATAAAAAATACTGATACAAATGCAAATACTGTATGTATGGTGTGCACTACAAAGACACAATTTATAACGTCATGTTATCGGACTCTGAGCAGCAGTATTTAGGTCATGGGCTGATTGATGACAGTTTTATGGGTGATAGGTCTTCTGACATCTGTGGCCATCATATCTATTGTTTATGATAACCTACATAGTTTAGATGTCACTACAGTAACTATTTACGTTGAGTCAAGAAGCACATTCATCTTGTAAAGTAAATAAATACATTTTAGCTGTTCATTTTGAATAATAAATGTGTTTGGCTACCTATCATTCTACTAGCCTAGTCCTCACCCTCTTCCCTGCTTCCCTGTGTGTGTGTGTGTGTGTGTGTGTGTGTGTGTGTGTGTGTGTGTGTGTGTGTGTGTGTGTGTGTGTGTGTGTGTGTGTGTGTGTGTGTGTGTGTGTGTGTGTGTGTGTGTGTGTGTGTGTGTGTGTGTGTGTGTGTGTGTGTGTGTGTGTGTGTGTGTGTGTGTGTGTGTAGGAGGTGAACACAGGCGGAAGGGCAGTGTTTCATTACTGTTTAATGAATGCAGTAATTCATTCCTTGCTCTACAGACCCTTAGTTTAGTACAGGCAAATCACAACATTAGCTGACCATTAAACTTCCATCTGATACCAAGGTGACATTTAAAAATAAAATTGACATGAATTTGAAAAACTGTCTTGGCAAACCTCCCACAAAAACAGTCAAACAATATGGATTGATATATGACTATTGTAACTTTGAAGTCATACAACAATGAGCTATTCAGTAATGTCTCAATGGACTTATGCCCGCTACAGCAACCGTTCCCAGCCCACAGCCAAGCTCTCCAAGTCTCAATGCTTTTTCTCAGAGTTGTATGAGCCTTTAAACACCAGAAACTCAAAGAAGTCAATAGGAGGTGGGGAGCTATTTGTCTGGTATTGTTATTCTCTAAAGAGGTGACCGGGAAAAGAAAACAGACAATGCCTGTATGCCTTACACAGGACCCCAGACTGTTGCTTTATTATTTGTGACGCCTATAACTCAGTCTCAATCAGTCGGAGACAGGATAGGCCAAGTGGTGTATCGCTTGTTTTATAGCATGTCTTTATCGTAAGAAATATTTGTGCAGTGTGAAAGAAACATTAGTCCCTACACCAGCTCTAATCTACCCCCTTCCTTCCTAGCATTGTATCCTGTGAGGGTGTGAGGCTTTTTCAGTGGGCTAATTCATGGTGGAAACAAACACAGACTGACAGGCCTTTAAAAAAGGGGCGTGCGGGCCTCTTTCACACATCACCATCCTCTTCAAAACGCCTTTTTCATTGCTCTCCCATAGCAATGTGGAATTCTCCTCATCCAGGTCACATTTGATTAAAGATCCATGCTTAAGAGAAAAAGATCAATAGTGTTGA